AAGATCTACACTGAAAACATAGCCTAAACAGACACTGGCAACAGCGACATGGAAAATGAAACAGATAGATTAGAGAAATCCTCACCCCAGAACTCCATGGCTGAAGAATATGAGAGACTCGGAGAGTGTGGGCGGGGGTTTTAGAGAGAGTGAGTGTGCTGCTAGGGTTTTTTGAGAAGATGAGAGAGAAAATACTGAAATGAGATGGTGAAATATCGGGTTTGGAGTTTTAATACTGTGCAGCGCGGACAAGCGTAAAATCAAAATATGGAAGTCGAGACTCGAGTGTGTGGAACTATCTAATTCGCTAAAGTGGGCTGGCCCATGTTTTGTTGGGCCTCTCTTTAAACCAGATAAATAAACATTACGCTGAGTATTTTAACTGAATTACTAAACACCCCTCATTTTTTATTACTTACCACCTCCTTGCACCGTTTTGTCCTTGACAATTTTTCTAAAAATTAAAAAAATAAAAAATTCTTCGACTGGCCGGCTGGAGAAAGGCGGTAACCGTGCACGGCCGCAATCGTCGGTTGGCAGCACCGTGCACGACCGATTTTGCCGGTTGGCCGCACAATTTTTTTATAATCAAATTTTTATTTATTATATAAACTATATAAAAATTTAGATATTATTATATAATAAATTAAAATTTATTATCTTATAGTTAGAATTTAGAAATTATGTATATATACTAATTATGTATATATATTATTATATATAATAAAATTATAGGAGAATGCTAACGGGATGGTTCCTTTGTGTTTTCTAGTCATTGATATACATGTAATCTAGTGATGGGTAGTTAATCCAACGGTTAAAAACACAACGGAACCATCCCGTAACGGGATGGTAGCATTCCTGTAACCGATACCGATAACATCAAACCGATTACATAATAGTATATGTTAGGATAAATGGTATCAGTTCAGTAACCGAACCAATAACATCAAACCCATATTGAACTGAACATGTTCGGTTTTACTAATATTCAAACCGAAACCGAACTGATAAGATAAGAATCAAATTGGTTGTCGATAAAACGGTTTGGTTTNTTTTTTTAAACTATTTAAGATTTAAGACCAATTAAATTAAAATATTTACATTAGTTGTCTATTAACTTAATTTATTATTTTATTTAACTAATATACATATTCAAAAGGCTAATCTATCATGTATTTTAATTTGTTTTTATATTCTTTTCGGTTCAGTTCGGTAAAAATCGAACCCTAGTTGGTTCGGACTGATACCGAACTCATAACAATTCGGTAATCGATAATCGGTTACAGTTACACATGAGTCGGTTCGGTTCGGTTTTCGGTAAAAAATATCAGGCCTAATATATATAATAGTAAAATTATATAAATTTTAAAATATTTTACCTTGTCACGAATATTTGTCACATAAATATGTACATAATTTTATTTTTAAATAAATAAAAAAAATCAATAATAAAAAATGATATAGTAATCGGCTCAAACCCGGTGGACCAAGTAAGTGAACTCAAATTTGAACCGATCAATAGTGGCCCAAATGAAGTCGATCAGGGTTAGGTTCAGGCTATGCTCATCGTGTTCGTTTCATACAAACTATAAGAGGTTAGGTTCAGGCTATTTGACCCGATCAATAGTGGCCCAAATTTATTATTTTATTTAACTAATATACATATTCAAAAGGCTAATCTATCATGTATTTTAATTTGTTTTTATATTCTTTTCGGTTCAGTTCGGTAAAAATCGAACCCTAGTTGGTTCAGATTGATACCGAACTGATAGCAATTCGATAATCGATAATCGATAATCAGTTACCGTTACACATGAGTCGGTTCGGTTCGGTTCGATTCGGTTTTCGGTAAAAAATACCAGGCCTAATATATATAATAGTAAAATTATATAAATTTTAAAATATTTTACCTTGTCACGAATATTTGTCACATAAATATGTACATAATTTTATTTTTAAATAAATAAAAAAAATCAATAATAAAAAATGATATAGTAGTCGGCTCAAACCCGGTGGACCAAGTAAGTGAACTCAAATTTCACCCGATCAATAGTGGACCAAATGAAGTCGATCAGGCTATGCTCATCGTGTTCGTTTCATACAAACTATAAGAGGGTGAACCTATGTGCACCATAATGAGGTTCCATCTCGAAACTAAATGGTGATGGGAGAAGTAGCCACTAGAATTATAAACTAGACTCATTTTTCTATAAAATCAATGTGGGACAACTCACAAATAATATTCCAACTATGTTGCACCATATATTTAAGAACCATATTTGTGCTACTTTTGGAGATTTTGTTTGAAATTACGATTAACCATTAGATGTTTAGTTGCCTCGGAAATTTGTATCTAAGAACAAACATATTTGTGTATCGGAAATTTGGTGATGATTGATGTTGAGTGGTCAATTATTGATGCGTATTTTGATACGTTTATTGGATCAATTAAATTTGAGGCTTAATATAGTATTATTGGTTTATTTGTTACATTGAAATTGAATTTAGCTATGACATTAACATCATGATCCCAAACGTGATAAAATTGATTTGATTAAATACAAGTCCACTAGAGAATGAAAGTCAACGGCAAGACATTTTCATTAATACTCAAATTAAACATGAGTTTGAATGTTTTTCCTACTCTAATGTTCACACGAATCATATAACTTTGAGAAAAGTGTCCAACAATCTTGTCATAAAAGTCGGTTTAATCATACTGAATTAATCGGTCTCAATAAATGCTCTAATATAATCCGACTTTTTTCGTCCAATTTATTATTTAAATTGGTATTTATGAATTTCAAATTTAAGTAAGAATATTATTTTGTATTTTAAAATTTATTACCGAGTTGAAAATGAGAGAATTTAAGAAAAAACGAGGACTTCAATTTTTAACAACATCACTCATTAGTATTTTTTTAAAGATAATTAGTATTATGTTATATAACATAATAATTTCTAAGTTCTAACATAATAATAATATTTTATAAGATAATCAATTGTAATTTATAATATAATAATTTTTAAATTCTAACTATAAGATAATAAATTCTAATTTTATAACATAATAATATCTAAATTCTAACATAATTTATATAATAAATATAAATTTGATGAAAAAAAAATTGCGCGGCCTATCGGTAAAACCGGCCGTGCACGGTGCGGCCAACCGGCAAAACCAGCCGGCCAGCAGGAGAATCTTTTTTTTTTTTTTAAAAAAAATGTTAGGAGAAAAATTGTCCAAAATGGGGCGGTAAATAGTAACACCCGTATTTTAAAGAGAAAATTACACTATGGACTAATTAAAACATAATTATTAATATAATATTTAATTAGAAAACATATATAACTACACAGAATTATTTGGTTTGTGGTTACCTTTCTTAGAGATAATAATTAAGGTGATTTTTTCTTTTATTTTGTAATTGTCCAAATTTATTGCGATTATTCTTTTATAACTCCCCACAATTTTTAACCCTATCTCTTTGTCACCCTCGCATCTCTATTCTTCTCCAATCTTTTTCAGTCCTCTACCATCGACGTCATTATTCTCAATTTAAAGCTTTTTTCTTTTACCCATTTTCTATTCGAAGAGAAAAAGCACAAGAACAGAAGATGGTGAATGTCGGTCGGGAGGTACCCCCCTCCCCTCGCCATATAAAATCGAACGTCGACCAGAAGTTTGTTCAAAAGAAACTTCAATTCCATAACAAATCAAAGTTCAATGGCTCCAAAAAAATCCGGGTATAAAGGTGACAAAGAAACGGCCGTTGCAACCTCTTCCGGCGACGTCGGTGAAATCCCATAGGCAAAGAAGCAAACACGGCGAAAAAAAAATTCCACCATGTTCAATAAAGAAACCCTCGACCAAGATTCTGGTTTTGTTTAAGACAAATAATTTGACACTAAGGAGATGGAACTTGATGAGGATGTCGTTGAAAGCGATGACTCGACGGTGAAAAAAAGGAAAAGGTCAAGGCTTAACAACGAGCGTTAAAATCTTATGCAAAATGGACATCAAAATATTTTCAATATATATTGCGTTTATAGTCAGTATATTTTCAGTGTATGTTGCGATTTTATTTACATAACATTTTTAACCATAATTGAGATTTTTTAATTTTGTTTATATTTTATGCTTAGTTTTATACCAATGATCTATACAACATTAATATGTAAAACACGTTATAANAAAGAGGCTAGAAATTAAGACACCTATGAGTAGTAGTTAGGAGTACTGTGAAAACGGTGTTGTACGTATATCATGTCTTGTTTTCCTATAGGGTTTTTATATTATCTATGTTACACTATTATTAATATGATAATAAGTTCAATTAATTAATTCTTATATTTCGTGCTCTTCATGTGGTGCACATCGCGTCACTTTATCTTTATAATCGTGTTTCCTTGGCTGTTATTACTTTATATATAAAGCTAGAACCAATTATGTCATTTAAGGGCTTGTTTTGATCATAGTCGTCGAAAATTCCAATGCCGTGGCTGCTGACCACGCATCTGCTCCCACATGAGGAACTTGAGATATACTATATGATATTTCATGGGAACAACAAACTCTTAATATATAGTACTACTTAGTGGATTATTAAATAAAGTTTTATGTGTTGATCCAGATTTATAGTTGTTATATATATAGATACTTAGGTTCTCCACTTATCTTTAATGGTTTAATGGAGCGTATTTATTTGTAGGATTCCATCCAAATAAGTCTTATGGCCTGCCAAAATATGTATTTGTGTAAAAATATTTTGTGGTGCGCAAATTGCGTGTACAAGGAAACAAATGAAGAAATTTTACTATTCAATATCTTTCTTCTCCTAATGAACAATTGCCTCAACAATCAACAATCATAACAATTAATACTCATTATTCCGATTACAATCAGAAATCATGAGTTTGAACAGAATACATAATGATAATATACTCTAGTCAAACAGCAGCACAATGTCGAAGCCAATTGTCGAGGTTCCGAAACAATTTGCTCTCTTCATCATATGAATCATCCACGACGTCAAAACTTGTGAGAGCCCCAAAACCAGCATCGTCATCGTCAAACTTGATCGGTTCCTGGACAGCACACTCCTCTTCTTCATCAACACAAATCACACCAACATCTGATTTCATCCAATCATTGCTTGCTTGCCCCAAAGTCGAAGAATCCCCAAAATACCCTCCGAGTTGTCGTGTATGTGACGACTGATCACCCAAAGTCGACACTCCAGAATTATAATCATCACAATAAATTTCATCACGTGACATCCCTCCTTGCACGTGCGGACGATTAACCAAAGTCGACAGCAAGTAGGGCAAATCTGCTTCTGCGGCCGCCTCTGAATCACGTCTCTTGTTTTTGTCCTTTTTCCTTCTCACAAGGCAAAGCACGTAATCCTTAAACTCGGGCTTCACTTGTCCCAACTTGCTGTCGGGAAGAGAGTACTCCTTCAGCGTCCACTCGCCAACCGAGTAATTACCCTTCCTCGACTCGTAACGAAACGTCCTCTTCTGGCCCAATAACGAGCCTCTGTCCCCATGAATAGGGACCTTTCGGCCCTTGTTGGACCACGTGCCTTTTCCAATATTACGACAATAACGATGATAACTGCCAACCTTAGAGTTGTTGTTCTTCTTCTTGCTGACCCTCTTTAGCCGTGTGTAGAAGTAGCGCTCTTGGATATTCTCCTCGCCGGAAAAGAACTCCCACGGCTCCTTTTCCCCGAATAGATCGGCGGTGGAGGAGATGCCGGGGAGAGGGTCGCCGGTGACTGCGTGGAGGAGAAAGGACATGCATTCCTCGTCCGTAGGATGAAATCGGATTCCCATCGAAGCCGCCATTAATTAATTGTATTGTTTGCCTACTCGAAATTTTTTACTTGGGAAAGAATTAAACGAGAGGAGTTATTTGTGTTGGGACTTACCAAAACCATCGACCTTTATTTATATGTATGTATGTGTGTATAGTCGGTCGGCGCTGCTTAGCCTGCTTTGGTTAGGTAATGATGGCCAGCGAAATTTGGAAAGACAATCCCGAACTATTAGCCACCGAGATGAATATTCGGAAATACCAAAATCGTCCATCTTTATTTATATGTGTGTGTTGCGATTTACCAAAATCATCATTCTATACAACATATAATATATACATATATTGGTTGATCCTCTCTGTATAACAATANTCTTCGAATGATCGTTTTTTTAATTACCAATATTACCCTGGTTAGGTTCGAAACATTCAATCATCAATATATTTGTATATTATAATAATACATTGTAGAGACAAACAACTTAGCAAACATGACTCACAACAAAATTAAAGTTAGACATTTAAAAATTAGTTTTATTACTATTATTACATGTAGCATTTTAGCTGGTTTTTTTAGTTTATATTTTAGTTAATACGTTTAAGATTTTTGTTTTAAAAAAAAAATAAAGATGCAATCATCCAAAGACATACATGATATTTATATTTTTTTCCTTTTAATTTTTTAAAATATTTAGTTAAAAAAAAATTAAAAGTTGTCATTCAATAAAAATGTTGACATAGCATATCCAGACAATATAATTTCCATCATTATCAATCAATCGATCAATCAACAGGTTGTTAAAATTCCATTAAGTGGGATCGGCTATATGGATCACGTATCACCATTGTACTCGATCAAAATACATATCTTCATTCAAATTTAAATACTTTAAATTATTTTTTTATTGATTCCTAAGGGGCGATTGGATATAGTTTCAATAGTGAAAAAACCAATCAAAACTTAAATTTAACTCAACTTTAACTCAACTACACTATTTTCAATATTATCAATATAATTAAATAATATCAACCAATTATTCTTACACATCACATCAACTGTAATTCATTATTCATCCACTCACATAATTTTAACTAACCATCACTTCCAATCATTTTTTTCTTACTTTACATCAAATCAACTTTAATTATTTTATTTAAATATTATTTTAATATATCAACTAACAACTACCCATACCACATTTTTTCAAAATTAACTATAGTTAAAAAACAAACCAAATAAAAACTAGTTGAATCCATAAACAATCACCCCCTTTTTAATTTGTGTTCTTAATTCTAATGTTTATACCCTTCTCACCGAGGCCTCGAAGTCTCTCCTATGCACATGCCCAAACTATCTTAATCGTGATTCTCTCATTTTGTCCTCTATGGGTGTTTACCCCAACTTTAGTTATAATACTTTCATTTCTAATCTTATCTAACCTAGTATGTCCACAAATTCATCTCAACATTCTCATATCTGTCACTCGCATTTTTTGATGATTTTAATATTTAGTGACCCAACACTCAGATCTATAAAGTATCGTCGGTCGATAGAACTTGGCTTTCAAACTCACTGGTACTTTAAGAACATAAAGTATTGACGATGCGCTCCTCCACTTGCTCCATCCCGATTGAATTCTATATGTTACATTCTTACTTATGTTGCTATTATCTTCTAGAATGGATCCTAAATATTTAAAAATTTTAGATGTGTTCAATTTGTGTTCCCCAATTTTAACCTTTATTCCATTATTACTTATTTGATTACTAAAACTGCACTCCATAATATTTTATTTTGGCCCTACTTATTTTGGAACACTTAGATTCAAGCGCCTCTCTCCAAGTTTCTCACTTAGCATTTATCCCCTCTCTCGTCTCATCTACTAACATTATGTCATCGCATGCAATCGGTGACATCCAAATGCAAATGTTTCGTAAGTGAAAAAATATTTTCAAATAATGTTGATCTAAATTATTTAAAAAAAACAAGTGACAATATTTTAATATAAATAGAAAAACATAATTTTAGTTTTATAGGCCGACTGTGACTGTTAAATTAAAAATATTATAGAAAGATGATTAATTTGTTGTTTTGTATGTAAAAAATTGTTAAAATTGTCAATATGTATTGAATTTTATATATAATCAAACATTTAGATACTTAGTAATACAAAAGCAAAAAAAGGGGTTTTTAGTCTACTTATAGATATTTTTGTTGAATAATACATGGATATAGATATAGATTTATGGAGTGTAGTCCCATTAATAAAAAATATATAGTTTAAAAAAGGTAATGAAAATTCAAATAATTATTAAAGATCAAATAAATTAATAATAATTTTTAATATTTATATCCAGTCAGTACGAACCCAACGAATTATATGTACACTTTTTTAAAACTTTGACTTTCCATTGAAAATAATAATTATTTATATGATTTCGTAATTTGTAGTTAATTTATAATATATTTTTGATAAGCTATACACAAAAAAATATATGATTTCCAATGTTTTGAAATAGAAAACATATAATTTTTAAATAAAATAATAATATATGACAAAAGAAATTAATATATCTACTTATAATTTTTGTTTCTTTAATAATATATAAATATTAGCATCTACTGGACTACGACAATACTATTTTAGGTCTATAGATTCAACTTCAACAACTTGGTGCAATTGGACAAGAAAAAATATATTTTCATCTAATAACTTCTAAAATGATATAAATGATATATCAAATTAACTATCTCTTGACGAGTTTCAATTTAACATCTATACCAAAAAATAGAAATAATTGAATAATATTATTTTACCTTTATAGATATAGCTAAATTATCTATCAATAATAATCTATTACTATAAAATACGGAGAAGGAAAAATGTTTGAATAAATATTTCGATTTCCCGCTTAAACATCAGTTTTTCCCTCCTTAAGTTTAATTTGAATTTTTTTCATCCACGAATTTGAATTGTTTTTCCATTCATACACGTTTTCCCTTTTTTTTTGGGATTTTGATTTTGATCTCATTTATTTAAAATGTCATTAACGTAAATAGTGGCTGAATATAAGTATTTGGGATCTCTTTACAACTTAGAAGACGTGACTCAAATAGAGTCCTCAAATTTGTTGATACTAAATTCCTTAATTAAACATATAATAGTTGTTAAATACATCTTCTAAATACAATCTTCAATTGGTTCCGTAAAATCCGTATCTGATTCCATACCTGCAATATCAAAATAAAGAGTCAATTACCAAAATCTAAAAAATTCTAACGATTGTGTAAAGGAAACTTGTGCATAAATATCTCAATAATTTATGATTTGTATGATTAATCCTTTATAAATTAAAGATTTCAATCTATAGTTTTAACCATCCGTATATATTTTAAATTTATATTTTCGAAAGTAATATATTAATAAAAAGATATATGTAAATTTAAATTTATACGAAAATAATTTATTAGTTGAGCAATATATGTACAAATAAATAATTGATTCTCACATGGAATATATAACATGTGTTTAATAATCACTTTACAGATATTTGTTTCTTTTTAATCAAGAAAATAATCAAGTAGTGGATGTTCTTTAAAGATCTCTTCTCTCATTCAAATACCTATAATATATTAATTAAAAACTGTAATGTATTAAAATGAGGTAATATCTCAAAACTTGATTTACTTCCTTCATTTTTAAGATCTCAATTTAATATTCATTTTTTTTATTTTCAAAAATCTGAGGATAAGTCTACAAAAAAAGGTATAATTTAGGTATAACCCATATACACACTATATAAACACCCCATCGGTAACAGATTGAGAGCACGCTCTGATCACAGAAAATTCCCCACAAATCGTCCTTTTTTTTTTTACCTTTCCCCAACTTTTCAAAATGCCTCCTGCTTTTGGTACTATTAAAGACCTCAAAAGAACTTACCGACCCTTCATTAAGCTACGCGTCATTAGAATGTTTATACGCGAGGAGGATAGAGGCTATAAAAATCCCCTCGAATTTATTTTGCACGATTCTGAGGTATTTGAATGACATCTATTTGATAACATTATTTTTTCGAAATTTTATTGTTGCATACTAATTCGAAATAATTGTTTGTTTTATGTACTTTGTAAGGGAGGACGTATCAATGCTCTCGCCCGACCTATGCATATTGCTAATTTCATCAACCAAGTTGAAGAAGGGGTCGTTTATGTCTTGAAAAATTATCAAGTCGAAAGTAATACTGGCATTTACCAAACGACAATAAGCCTTTGGAGGCTTGTGCTGAACAAGGATACCAAATTTATCAAGTGGCCTCATCTTTTCCCCACATATCGTTTCGTCTTTAGAGATTTTGCAACTTTAATGGATATTGACAATATAGATGAAACTATGTTGTTTGGTAAGATATTATTACGTGCTTATTTTTTCCGAATTATTTTATTTAATTTGCAATATTTTTGTCGTGTATTAATTATTAAATTCAATTAACCTAAATTTCTTTATTACATCTTAATTTATAGATGTTATTGGGGTGGTTGTCGAAATACAACCAATTCAAATGAAGACGGTCAAGGGGGTGCCTACGCAAATGATTGTTTTCTCCCTTATGAACTTGGAGTAAGTATATATAACATTATATATTCATGTGGTTTATAATCGTATAGATTGTTATTAGATTTCTTAACATTGTTAACATATTAACTATTAGATTCGAATTTGATTTTTTTTTTGTGGAAGCGATTAATATTCAATTGTATGATAGTCCAATTTTCCGATTTTTTAACGTGGAGTTTATTCGATTTTTTAGAGGAAAAAAGAAGAATTGTACCCTTTGGGGACAATATGTTGATCAACTAATCGCAATTGAGCATCATTATATGAATGAACAACAAGCGTTTGTCATAATCCTGCAAATGTGTCGTGCTAAGGTGTTCGATGGTAATATTTTAATAAATTTAAATCATAATTTTCTTATTTTATTTTTATTTTTTTTTATTGTCTAATCCCATAATTATATTTTTTATTTA